CCATGGGCTGAAGAACTTCTTCCTAAGATCTAAACCTGCTCCCCTTCAGTTTAAACCATTTCCCCTGGTCCTGTCGCTGGGCACTCTTGGGAAAAGTCTCTCTCCAGCTTCCTGGAGGTCCCTTCAGGTGTTGGAGGCAGTTCCAAGGTCCCCCCAGAGTCTTCTCCAGGCTGAACAACCCCAGTGCCCTCAGCCCATCCTCAGAGCAGAGATGCTCCAGCCCCTGGGTCATCTTTGTGGCCTCCTCTGGACTCGTTCCAGCAGATCTCTGTCCCTTTGGTGGAGGGGACAGCAGAACTGGACGCAGTATTTGAGGTGGGATCTCACAAGAGCAGAGTCAAGGGGGAGAATCACCTCTCTTGATCTTGTATTAAAAATAATCTATATATATGAGTACATATATGCCTATTTTATATATATATGTATATATATTCGTAAGTGTGTATATAAAAACATAAAAATAACTTCCTGTAAGAAAAGAGTTTGTTGCTATTCAGCCCTAAAATACTGTAAGGTACTTGGGGGTCTCATATCTGCCAGCAGGAGAAGTGCAGCCCAGTTAAGACCATTAATAAATGTCCCTTTCAATCTTCCTTTGAAATGAAGAAGACTTTTATTTGAGCTCTGGACAAGCCAGTCTGCCCATACCAGTTGTAGAAAGCAAGATCTAGATATTTTTCCATTGGACCAAGAGCTGTTGTGCATTCACTTGGTAACTTAACTGTGTGAAGTGCATGTCAGGACCACGTGTCCTCAACAGATGTGATGCATTCTTTTGTTTTAACATAGAACCTACTATCCAAAAAAAGCTGCTTGGCTTTCAGGGAGGGGTATGTGTGGGGAACAGGGGGTGGAATGGTGCCTGCAGAGCGTAATCCAACACGGAGGCATCCCCAGGCCTGTTCCACCACCCTTAAATGTGGCCTGTAAGTGACACCAACAGAGCTGCGAACCACAGAGCAGGAGAGGAGAGGGACCCAGTCTCGTGCAGGCCTCCTGGTCTCCAGCAAAGCTTCAGAATTTAGTGGCTTGCAAAAATCTTGGCTCTTAGGAGAGATATGCTGGGAATTGGAAACCCCAGTAGCATCCTCGTGCATTCTGTGTGTGGCTAAGGATGGAGAAAGAGGAAGGAGAAACAAAAGTGGTGTAGAAATGGACGTTTAATGTGTAAGTGGCCTTGAAAATCATCAAGGTCATAGAATCACAGAATCATTAAGGTTGGAAAAGATCTCTGAAGTCACCAACTCCAGCCATCGCCCAACACCCCCATGGCCACTGAACCATGTCCTCAGGTGCCTCCTCCACACGGGTTCTGAACCCCTGCAGGGCTGGGGACTCCCCCACCTCCCTGGGCAGCCTGGGCCAAGGCCTCACCACTCTGCCAGGAGAGAAATTCTTCCTCAGATCCAACTGAAACCTCCCCTGGGGCAACTTCAGCCCATTGCCTGTCTTGGGTGGCTGGTATCCCTAGGCAGGAGAGGGGAAGGGTTCTGCTGGCAGTGAGCAGATGTATTTTGGGTTCTGCCTCACTAATTAGCAGCAAGGTTGAGATTCTGACTTGCTGTGGCATCCAGGCCATGCTCTGTGCTGCGGGGACAGGGCTCATGACACTGCAGCACACGTGCCACGGGAGGAACACGAGGGCCAGGGCCACCACGATGGGCCACCACCGAGCCACCACTTGTGGCCTGGGAGGGAGTGAGGGGTCCCTTTGCCTCGGGATGCCTTTAAACACCATAGCCCTGGGTTGGTCGTAGGGGAGGAAGGGGATGTGACGTTTCTTTGGGGCAGGTCTGCAGTTCTCTGACCTCCTGCCCCTGTTTTCCTGGCCCCTTGGTGAGCAGGTCTGTTTGGCACCACGTGGCTTTGCACTGCCACTCGGCTTGTCTCCTTCTTTTCCCCCCTAATGCATCTATCTCAAGCTGGAAGATTTTCCCAGTGAATTAATTACTGCAAGAACATTTTCCTGATGAGAATTAGGGAAGAGAAACTGGTGTAAAATATTGCTGTCCTGTGTGTACATGTACCTGAGCAAAGAAATGCTTTTGCCTGCCAAGTGTAAATGCAAAATCTTCCCCTGTGAGGCTGAGGAGGGTTTTTAATGTGCCTGCTCGATTTGGCAGTAAGATCCTTGGTCTGTGTGCTGTAACCTCACGCTGATGGTGTTCTCTGCTTAGTCACCTCCATTTTTTCCCCTCTTCAACAGCTTTTTCAGAACAAACTGTGAAACGTTTGATGAATGAAGGCCACAGTGTGATGTGTTCCCATTCAGGAAGCTGTTTAGTAACTCCTGCAGTGCACCCACTCCCCAGTCAAAAGGCTCATTGCTGAGTCCATTTAATAGTAGCTGAAAATTCTGAATGTCTAAAACATTGAGATTGATGCTTGACCTGGACTGTGGGCTTTTAAAGAGAGAAGCTGTGAAGATTGCTGCACGTTTGTTTTATTTAGAACACGAATGTGGGTTTCACTGCTAGAGTGAAAATGTTTATTGCATTTTTGATGATGCCCATAAATCTTATGCAGAACATTCATTGTTGCTTTTTGCAAATGTCTGTCCCCCTGCTGGGTGCTTTGTGAGGCTGGTGGATGGCACAGAGAGCAGAGTCTGGTCCAGGGGCTTCCGAGTCCGAGCTGCAGTGGGCACGGCCCCACTCTGCACTCTCTCTCTCAGGGTGAGAAGGAGTTTGGAGAGGAAGGGAACGATGGAACAACCTGGCAGCAGGGGTGTTCACACCAACTGTGGCACTCCAGGATCTCCTGCTTTGGGGAATAATGGCATTTGTTACCAGTGGCTACCAAAGCAATGAACAAGACAAACTCTTAGCAGAATTCTTCAATCCTGTCTGACAAAACAATTGATTACAGTTGGCTTCTTACACAGAAGGTGAGCAGAGCAAAGCTTTCCTTCCCAGAAAAGAAAATAAATTGAATGCTGGGAGTGTGAATAATGGAACTGCCAAATCTGCATGGAAGCAGTGGTGAGGTTTGTAGTGTTGTTGTGTTGTCTCAGTTTGGTGGTGATGAAGTGAGCTCCTCACAATGCTTTTTTTTTTGTTTCCCAATGTCTCACAAAATCACACAATGGGTTGGGTTGGAAGAGACCTTAGAGATCATCCAGCTCCAACCCCCCTGCCATGGGCAGGGACACCTCCCACCAGACCAGGCTGGTCAAAGCCCCATCCAGCCTGGCCTTGAACACCTCCAGGGATGGAGCATCCACAGCTTCCCTGGGCAACCTGGGCCAGGGTCTCACCACCCTCACAGTGAAGAACCTCTTCCTAATTTAAAATCTAAATCTACCTTCTTTCTGTTAAATATGCCTCTCCTGTATTAGTTTTCCTTGGATTTTGAGGGTCACAGTTCCTACAGAGGATGCCTTGAAGCTCTTCTAGTTATAATTCTGTAGAGTTTAGATCATAATTATTTCTGAATTGTTTTGAAGGTCAGCCTTCTGTAGCACCCAGGTGACAAATTTACCCTTTAAAAATTGTAATTCCAGGTACAAGATGATCTCAGAATTCACTTGGCCAAACCATGACCTCCCTTCAGACAAAGATGCTGTGAAGAAGCTCATAGAGTGTCACGGGTTCCAGCACGACGTTGCTTATGGCAAGACCAAGATTTTCATCCGCACGCCTCGAACTCTCTTCACCCTGGAGGACTTGCATGCCAAGATGCTTGTGAGGATTGTCCTTTTCCTACAGAAGGTAAAGCTTAGTTTGCTGCCTTAAAAACTCAGTCTGAGTTCTTTAAAATATCCTTGCTCCCTTTTCAAGCTCAGTGGCAAAAGTGAGAGGTCTGGACAGATTCGACAATACCACACTTTGATTATGGCTTCATTTTGCTAAAGCTCCTTTGTCAGTGCTCTCTGCAGCTGCACTGAAGTCTCTGTGTGCTGTGATGTGCTGGGAGCTGTAGGACCTGCAAGATTGTCAGTCCCTGTTCAAAAAATGTGCTCTTTTCTCAGTGAAAGTAGCTACCTGGAAACTTAGAGGAACATTTCTGGATGAATGTTGGTGCACGACGGGTGTTGAGACAGACTAAGATGTGTGAGAGGTGATGAGTGGGTCCATAGCTGACAGCACACATCAAACTCCACTGGTAAAACATGAGCATCTATGTTGTTGTAAAACAAAACAGGCAGCCAAGGGATACAGAAAGAAGGGATGATTTGTGCATTAGTGGCAGTCCCTTCCCATAACAAGAGTGTGGGCAGCAGGTCAAGGGAGGTTCTCCTGCCCCTCTGCTCTGCCCCACCGAGGCCACCTCTGGAGTTCTGGGGCCAGTTCTGGGCTCCCCAGTTCCAGAGAGACAAGGAGCTACTGGAGAGAGTCCAGCAGAGGCTGCAGAGCTGCTGAGGGGCTGGAGCATCTCTGTGCCAGGACAGGCTGAGAGCCCTGGGGCTGCTGAGCTGGAGAGGAGAAGCCTCAGAGGGGATCTGAGCAGTGTTGAGCAAGAGCTAAAGGGCCCCGGGGGGCAAGAGGCTGGGGCCAGACTCTGCTCAGTGGTGCCCAGGGACAGGACAAGGGGCAACGGGCACCAACTGGAACCCAGGAGGTGCCACCTGAGCAGGAGGAGAAACTTCTCTGGTGTGAGGGTGTTGGATCCTGGAGCAGCTGCCCAGAGAGGCTGTGGAGTCTCCTGCTCTGGAGAGATCCCAAACGTGGCTGGCTGTGACCCTGGGCACCCTGCTGGGGGTGAGCTGCTGGAGTAGGGGGTGGGATGAGATGATCCCCAGAGGTCCCTTCCAGCCCCCCTGTGTTGGGATTCAGTGACAAAGACCTGATGTGCCCTGCAGTGCACTGATGTGCAGTGTTGGGTGTTGGTGGGTGCAAGCCTGGGAGAGTTACAGCACAGGAACAAGGGAAAATGCTGGTGTTACCCTTAGGATAAATAATTTTACATTCTGTGACTTCAGGGCAAACTCCTCAGACTTCACTTACCAAGGTACAGTTCTGAGCCGTGGGAGTTTGCTGTGACTTGGCTACCTCCTAAATCACTCAGGAGCTTTTGAGGCCCACAGCAACAGAATAGAGGCTGGTTTTGTAACCACAAAAGCAACATATGCTGGAGGGGAAGAAAACCAAGAGCTGGTTTTAGTACTTGCTGAAAACTGTGTTCTGAGTGAGCGTCATCTGTCCAGTGAAGAGCAACAGCTTCTGACTTCCACAGGCACAGAAATGGTGGAACTCTGAACTGACAGGCACTGCTGGCTAGGTAAAGATTTTTAGAAATTTATTTCTTAAAATGTGTTTTTCCTTTGTCATTCTTGGAACTCAGGGAAGCAACAGAACTTCTGAAACCCTGTCAGAAATAGAAACTGCTGACAGATGGGTCTGAAAGCTTCACTCAGAAGAAGCCTGCTCTGAAGCTATGCAGCTCACATAAGTCTGCACAAACCTTCTCAGCCTGGTGGACTGAATCACTTTTGGTTATTCAGTAAGAAAAGTAAGACCCTGAAGGAAAAGTTACCATCAGAAGCTTTAGTAATTCTGTAGAACATTCACATTTCTCATGTTGACAGGGAGTTTGATCTGATTCCCTTTCTGGAGAGCAAAACAATGGGACCAGTATGGAAGGTGAAAATGTCAAGCCCTGGGTTGGAGCTCCTGGTGGCTGTTGTGCTTTGTTCCTTGGTTTGGTGTTAGTAAGGAGCTGGGTAATTTTTATGTACATGTATGGGATTAACTGTTCTGGACATGTGAGGCTCAGGCTGCTGCTCAGGGATGCAGGAGCTGCCTGGTTCTGACCTTGAGGGTGTTCAGTGTTTTCTATCCCTTTTTTAGC